TGAACCTGCGACGTTTTTTCCGATTTGAAGAGTTTCTTAACATTGTTTTTAACCTTAGTTACCCAGATGGGATTGGATTCAATCCTATAACTAAACTTTTTACAAAAAAAATTTATTCACTACGATTATTCAAATACTTTTATTGGTAAATAAAACTATTGGGATGGCTAGAGTTTTGTAGAAGATATTCTGCTGTGACGTAGTCATTATAATTGGGGTACGTGCGAGCATTTATTCCGTTGAAGAGTTCTTAGATTATTATAGTCTTTTTTATAGATTTCAACACGTATATGTAAATTTTATTATACTCTGAAAAATTTTCTTCACTCTTTGAATATATCTTAACAACCTCAGATTCCATTTTTTGGGAATATTTTTCGCAATTCAATTTTCTCAAGTAATAAAGCAAATATGTAAATCACATAAGAAGAAACTGAAGGAAGAATTACTCGCTTGTTTCGTATTGTAGAAATCAAAACAATTTTCACAATCGATTTACTTTTGTTGGAAATTTGATCTCTTAAAAATAGAAAATCGCAGATAAAAAATAGCTCACAAAAAAAGAACTTGAGCCCTCTGAAGTGTTTCGCACTTGAAGTATTGACACACAGTAATACCAGCCGAAAAATAGAAAAATGAATAAATTTCTTCTCGGAACTTCTAAGCACCTACCAAGTGCACATAGAAGCAGAGAGAAAAAATAACAAAAATTAAATATAACAACAGCTTAATAACAAACGAAATAAAACAACTATGACAAGAAGAAGAAGAAGCAGAAGATGAGGAACAGGGAAAAGCTTGGAAATTGTATCTGCAATTGAAAACTCTAAAGTACGTTTCAGGCAGGTACTCGAGGGCGTATAACACTTTTCTATTACGAGGAACGTCTTCAAAAAATATTGTCATATCTCACTTCAGGGATGCAAACGGACGGATGGATTCCTTTGCTTGTTCATTGATACGCCATTAGAGCAACACTTAAGCACAGATAAAAGATACGTGCGAAGGGATACATTTTAATATGGAAATAGATACGAAAATATCTTATACTTCTGGCAAGAGAAATTTATTTATTCATAAGTGAAATATAATTCAGCACATAAAAGAATAGCAAAGATAAAACAAAATGGAAATATTGTTACTTTTATTTCCTTTTTTTTCCATTTATCTTCGCTTTATGATATAAGAAACAAAACAGCTGAGCTTATAAACTAATAAAAACATGAACTCTTCTCAGTCCTCGTACCACTTCCCGGTTTAACCCATTTTTCCTGGTTGGTTTTTTTTTCATCAGACAACGAATTTTTCTGCATTTACACAAACGACCTCTCCACGTACCGCTATCGTATTGCTTCATTCATGCCAGCGATTGGCAGCTAGCAAAAGTGCACAACGGCAAGGATGAAGCGCTACATCAGCGCGCTACACACTCCTTTCCTTCCCTACTGATTCATCCCAAGATGCTGGAACGAAAGCAACTTTTTATTTATTCACAAACGAGCACTAACTTAGCCAGCAGCACTTTGGCTCTGTTCTTACCAATAACCAGATAACCAACCACATATTTGTACTAACGAAATGCAGATACTCGCATCCTTCAGTAAAAAATGAAATAAATTGCAATAAAAAACAAAAAAGGAAGAAACAAAAAGGAAGATGATATGAGAAAAAAAATTAAAAAAAGAAAAAGAAAATAAAATAAAATAAAATATGCGATAAAATAAACGCGCCGCATGCGAATGAGCTGAGCTGTTCAAATAAATTCAATTGAAATGAACTCAACTGAGATGAGATGAGTTAAGATGAGTCGAGTAGAGTCGAATCAAGTTCAACGGAGTAGAGAGGAGCGTTGAAGTGGAGCTGCATGGAATGGAGTAGAGACGAATAGTGGCCACTATGATTGTATGGCCGCAGTAGAGGTACGCATCAAAATTCGAATGTGAAGAAAAAGCCTGCAGATACGTGGTAGGTTAAGGGTTAAGAGTCTTGTGTTCCTTTAATAGTTCGAATAAGTTATGCGCTTATGAATTATGCATTCGACTGGTAGATAAAATTTAATATTTACAGTTATGCGCATCCCTGCTATACCATAGCCTCTATGCCTTTCGCTTATTTATTTGCTAGAATTGCCTTTCCTTCCTTCTATCCAATAAAAACGATCAAAGCCCTTCCAAGTGTGAATCGAAATTTATTATTTCCGTTTATTAAAATAATAAGGAACTCTGCGCTTCTATCGTATGTGTTGTCGGGAACCGCATATGTGAATAAATTTGAAATGCGAAAAGAAAACTGCCGCAGTTAATTAAGGTATCCGGAATATGTAATACGATTGTGGTGTAAAACGCAAGTTCCGAATTTTGATTCTGCTTGAAAACAGTCGCGTCGCAAAACATCCTAAATACTTATGAAATTTTTATGTCGCATATCATCGTGATTATTCTTATTTTGAGTAAAGAAAAGAACATATCGCAGCATGTCTCATAGTAGTTGCATAGGTGGAGGGAGTCTTATATGTGAACTGATAATGCAATTTGTGTAAAGACTGTTAATAAGTGCCAGAACAGCATTTAGTCTAATTTTCAGGAATTGAAGGCACAAACTGCAACTAAAATAAGCCAAAGTATTCACACTTCTTGATTGCCATGATGAGTTTCTGAAATTTGAACTGAAACTGTAATAATAATGCCGAAAATGTTATTTACATAAATCCGAAAATCGAATGTGTTCTAGAATTACCGTCAGTGACCGTTGATGACATATAAACGTCAGAAATATTAGAGTAGTTCATGTGGAGTTCATTTTCGAGGGTTTTCTGCAGAGTCCTACCCTTTTCACTAACTAATTTATGTATTTCTCAAAAGATTCGTGATTATTCAATAACTGATCTAATATCTACGTACCGCCTCCTGCGGCTAGAGATTATTCTGAGATTAGATAGTCCTAAATAGAGCAGCCTGTCGGTTTTCGTGAATAGCTTCAGAGCTCTGTTTCTTATGTATTTTTTGACCGGGTCTATTCTAAGGTCTCTTAGCATGTCATTTGTACGGATATACCAAGGCGCTTTGAAGAGTCTTCGGAGAGACTGACATTGAGCAATTTTCAGCTTCTGGATAATAGAGTTGGCAGCTTTGCTATATGCGGCACACCCATACAGTAGTGCTGGTTTGATTATCTGGCTGTAGATCAGCTTTTTGTTCTTTACGCTAAGGTTATTGTGAAAAGTAGTTATAAGCAGTGCAGTGCTTCACGATTTAGGTTGACTATTAAGCTTATCACAATAATCTTAATCTACCTTAAGTCTTTTAACGCACATCTCATGACACCTTGGATGGCGTACTTCTTCTATTTTGTATGTTATATAGAACAAGGAATCCGTTTACAATTTTGATAAGTACACGTATATCATTACTCAATTTTGATGCCTCATGGAGAATGTGTTCAAGTGTTTCAACTTCTATTTCACAATAGTAGCAGTTACTGGTTTCTAAGATACAAATTTTGCTAATGTATTTCCTCAACCAATATTGGTCTAAGAAAACCCCTACAAGAATTATAATTTTTTCTCTACTTAGTGCAAGTAATGTATTTAAGACTGTATTGGTTAAAGTGGTGTCCTATCTAAGAACATGTCCTTGGTATTTATAGCTCACACAATTGTTTCTGAATTGAAACTTTTCCCTGTAATTCGAGCAAATATAAGTCATCACACAAAATGTTAAAATAGATCTAATTTCTTTCCAGATAAAGACAGGGACTAATCATAGCTGACAAGGCTAGGTTATTAAGATAACAGTATAAAGCTAATAGATTTATTAACAGCTTTGCTTTCATATTAAGAAAAGGTGTCGTTCAGACTGATGGACGAGTCTGGAATATATACTTAATGATTAACTGTAATCGGAAGGAAATCTGAATTACCCATGTCTTTTCTAAGTGATTTATTGGATAAACTAAACGCTCTCTTATAGATAATAACCTCAACAACAGTTACTCTACATTTAATTCGATTATTGCATTTGTCAACGACTTTTAATCCGTTCGGCCTATATTTGCTATTTTGGATTTGTAATGGGTTTATTTTAATTTGTTGAAGTTTGATATGATTTGTAACTAGCAACTGTTAACTGTCAACTGGCAACTGGCAATTGGCAACTAGCAACTGACAATTTTCAACTGTTTAACCAAATTCTTTTGCTTGAAGTAGCACAGCATTTCACTCTTTGAAGTTATCATTTAAACGCACAGGCCGACACCACAGCTGCTGGCTGGAGGTAATTGGGTGTGGGTGTGGGTATGGATATGGGTATGGGTATGGGAGAGGCATAAGACATACAATTGTGATAATAGAAAATTCCTAACTCTTAAATGGTGTCGTGGAATTTTATAATTAAATTTCAGAATAAATTAAAGCGACTTTTGAATAAATATTTTAGTAAAAAAATTCAATGAAAATTCTTGGCATTTAATGCAAAATCAACAATAAACAAAATGAAAGGAAATTTCTAATTTCTAATTTCAAATTTTAAATTTTAAATTCCTTCCCACCCCTACACGCAACTGATAAATTTTTGGGAGTAAAGGGCTACTTTGTATTTGCAAGGAATAATATTCATAACATTTGAATTTATTTATGAGGAATTTAGTTCTTTGTAGTCTTTATCCATTTGAAGTGGAAGCATTCTTTGAAAAAGCTTTCATTCGTACAAGTGTTGGATGTGGACTTTAAGGGCACCGATTGCGGTTGACGTCGGGAGCTAATATTAATTTACAGACGACAAATATTTCTCTGAAGTGGGAGAGTTTGTGTAACGCCTGAGTGGAATACAAAAATAGTTCCAAAAATTCACATAAAAATCTTGAAGATGTTGAGCTTTAATGTCTTCATGGAGGTGCATATTCTCGCTATTCGCTACTCGCTACTCTTGAGATTTAAAAATAGAAGTCACCTATGAGCACTCAAGACCAAGTTCGTTTCAATGCTGTCGGCATTTAAAAATAATCTTCGACTCTCCCGATCGTTCAGTGCGGCGATTGGCGCACAACATAACGCGCCATGTGAGCAGTTTTCGGAACGACCTCGTCGTAGCTGGAGTAAAGCATTTGCGGTGAACTTACGTATCTTTTAGTGAATTTATCACAAAAAAAAAATAAAAATATAAATAAATTTAAATGAAAAAATAAAATGTTTTAATAAAATTTTTGAACTTTCAAATTCTTGTGTGATGTGTTGAAATGTTTTTGAGTCGTCTTTTGCGATTTCTACTACCGCTTTTGTTGCCACTTGTAGTGAGTGGCCGCGAATTGCAGCCGATAAAAATTGGTAGTAGAAAAAAAATTAGATAAATTAGTTAAACTTAAAACATTCTTACATCTATTCCCTATTTGTGTTGCATTTCGCCAGGTGCTATATTCTTTGAAAATGAAACCGATATTGCGAGAGCATTCGAGGCGGCCGTGGAACGCGTAAACAGTGCCGCGGACACCACATTTCGCTTGCTGCCTTTGGTGCGGCAATTAGGCGAAAACACGGCAAGTACAGCGCTGCAGCGTGCCGGTGAGGACTCAGTCGTCGGGTGTTTGATATTTGAGTTATGGATATTTTTAATGGTTTGTTTATATTTACACAGCATGTGATATGGTAGACAATGGGGTCACGGCTATTTTCGGACCGAGTTCAAAAGCGAAAAATGGTTTGTATACAAAAAACATAAAGCACTTAAATATTTTCAGTTAATATGAGAGGAAATGAATATGCAGCGGAAGTGGGAATAAGAGAACAAAAAATAAAATTAACAGATGATATTAATGGTCACTTTTTCTTGTTTTCCATATAATTCTTGAAGAAGTCGGCACAACCACCTATTACTACCTTACAACTACAGTTGTAATGAGTGCTCCAATTGTGTATTGGGTATAATTTTATATAATCCTTACCAGACCAAAAGAACTATGATTTGTTTTTTAATAGTTATTTAAATTTATATTTTAAGACTTTTCCGCTTGTGGACACTGTCTTTTCGTAGCCATCTTTATAATCTTTTTTTCCGTCATCAACTTATCTTTAAACTAATTATTCTCCATATTGTAGAGAATATGTGAAGGACTCTCACGTACAGATACAATTTGAACGGTGGTCAATGGTATGTGGGGTTTTGAGTTAGGCTACGGCACCTATGCACTGCGACCAGCTTGAACTGTTGTACGCTCTATTGTGTATTTAGGCATTCAGTATTTCGAGGAACCGAACCAACTCCTTTGGAGGGAGTTTTCGAAGCTCTTCATTCTCTAGTTGGTATGCACTTAAAATTTTGTTTCTTCTGTAGCCTAGTGTATCACAGTTGGTGATCAAATGTTCCATAGACTCTTTCTCATCACCGCAGAATATGCAAATATTAGTATCGGATGCAGACATTATTTAGTCTATAGCATTGTCAACTTGAGATTAAGTAGTTAATGTTTAATAAAGTGATGATTTTCTAGTAATTTCTAAAAAATTGAAAAATACTCGTAGTCCTTTCTACAGCTTTTCGCATATTGGGAGCCGGTGATTCATTATTCTTTTTCTCATCAAAATCAGATAGACTGAACCTTATGATTTCTATTTATTATATTATTGTTTTTTCCTTCTGCAAGTGTTTATGTCTATTAGTACTGGAAAGTATTTATTTAATTCTAAATATTTATTCTGAAAAGTACAGTAGTTGCGCCATAACATTAAAGGCATTGTTGGCCAAGTACTGTGGTAGTCAATAGACTGATAACAAATTTTACTGTTTAAAATACTTGAAGAGATTACTTTATTTGATGTACATGACATTGACACTTCTTCAGTGTCTCACTAATTTTTTTTTGATATTCTTCTGATAACGTTTGTGTCATTCATTGTGAATGTTATAATCTTACTATTATTATTAAAGACCTTTCTCAATCTTTTGAATCCTTAGCTGCATCTATTTCCCGTTATAATTCAAAATTTGACACTCTATCTGACTCAAGAATCAAAAATCAAAAATCGTACAACAAAGTCTTGCTAATTCATCTCGCACACACAAACTAAGCATATCAGTCCAACCAATACACAAAAAAAGTGTTGACTCAATCAACAAGACACGTGAAATTTGAGGATTTTCATTTTTCTTTGATAGCACCTCTTATTTTCCTACTTCTGTATATAATGTTGTAATGCGATCTTGGTACAATAAGGTTACCTGGAGACGTTTGAAGTGTAATCGTGAGTAATTTCATTGAGGAACTGGACTTCTACACACTGCTTCTAGGAGTTCACTAAATATGCTAACCTTCCCATGTTATTGGGATCAAAAAATATACACATTATGAATGTCTTTTTACTGTCTAGAAGGTATTTCATACTTGTTTAAAATATCATCTTCCGCAAGCTCATCATTTGGGTGCACTTAAATGAAAATCTTAAAATTTGGTTATTATGCATTAAAAGGGCTTCTAAAATTTTCTTAGAAAACTCTTTTCGTAAAACTAATTTATAGACATAGTTGCTGTTATTTGCAATGCAACTGGTATTCTGCATATACAGTTCGATATGGCATTCGAGGAAACTGTCGAAGAGAAAGAAAATCATCAAATGACGGTGAATGTCTATCCTTCACAACTGGTTCTATCCAAAGCATATGCAGATATTATACAAAGCCTTGGATGGCGAAAGTTTACTGTTGTTTACAATGAAGAGGATGGTCAGTGTTAATTTCAATAGAATTAGTTTATCTTTTAACAGAATATATAATTGTGATAATTGCAGTGCATGCACCGACACGCTTGCAGGATTTATTACAACTGCATGACCTGCACAACGATGTGGTGCGTGTACGTAAATATAAACGCGATGAGGACTTTCGCATACTGTGGAAGAGTATCAAAGGTGAACGTCGCATAGTGTTGGACTGCGAACCGGACAAACTTGTTGATCTACTGAACGCCTCCATACCATTCGATTTAACTGGCGAATTTAATGTAGGTCGAAATTTTCTAAAACAACAAATTCTAATTTTTCCTCTATATCTCTTGACATCTCCATCTAATTTCTTACAGCAACTATTTCTTACGAACTTGGAAGTTCACAATAGCAACTGGGAAGATTTGCGTGACAATGTGAGTTTCGCTGTTAATGTAACAGCAGCACGGCTTTTACTTACCACAGAGACTAGCGTGAGTCCAGCACTTTATAATGAAAAAACAGAAATCTGAATATTTCTAACGCATATTCGTAGGATGCCAGCTATTTACAAGACACAGTTACTGACGATACTTCAATGGAGCAGCCACCAGACACATTACTTACAAATCTCATAGACGATGCAGTTAGTGTTTTCGTAATGGCTATTAGAAATATGTCCAGATCCTATATGTGGCCTATTGAAATGCCAAGTACAAGTTGTGCTTCTACACAATTTGAAAATAGTGGAACGGAAGGCTTCGGTGAAGAATTTGAGAATTCCCAAACACGCAGTTTTGGTGAGGTGCTCGTAAGCACTATGAAAAAGGTGAGTGTACGAAACTTTTACGTATTTACGTATGGAAACAATTACTAACTAATCGGCTCTTCTGCACTTAGATTTCTGGTGTTAATAATACGGACTTCCGAACTTCGGATCTACAGTTTGATGAAGACGGTTTGCGTTTCAGTTTTAATATAGAAGTATACGAACCAATTCTTAATTATGGCATGTTAATTTGGAATTCTAGAGGTCATATAACACTGTTACATGTGGACGAAGGTGTGAGCAAAAAGATTGTATACCGTATAGCAACGCGGATTGGAGAGCCATATTTCATGATAGAGTAAGTGAGGTAGAACACAACTTTTTTTTCAACAATTTCACTCTTATAAGTAAAGGTTTTGAAGTGCTGATTGCCAATATTCCAAGTCAAATAAATTTTCTTTTGGCACAAACCAAGTTAACATATATGACCAAAATGAGTACAGTCGGCTAAATTTTTAACTTTGAGATACATTCAATTGTTTGTGCAACATTTTCAATGTAAATGCGATATATTTTCCATTGTATGACGGGAAATACTCTGTTTCTTAAATATATATTTGTAACATATTCGCCAAATGGATTTCCTTATTATTGAGAAAACTTTAGTTTGGTATTTCATTAAAGAATTTTTCCTTTAAAGTAGTTGTTTATATGACCAAATAGCAGATATTCTTTCGCTGTCCATAATTAGTGATTTTTCGCCATTCTACTAAGCCATCCTTCTTAACCGTAAGAGTTAAGAAGAATCAAACCAAATCCATTTCGCTGAATTTAATTACTTTAACGGATCTTTCATCCTTATTGATAAACCGTCTGACAAACTGTCAAAAGAAAGAGTGATCAGAACTCCTTTCACTTAACGTCGCGATGTTGTGTTTTAACACTAAATGTATCTTGTCTTGTTCCTTTCTAGTGAAGAAGCTGCTGCAGCGAATGCCACAGGAAACAAACGTTACAAGGGCTATGCAGTGGATCTTATAGAGGCATTGGCAAATGAAATGAAGTTCGAGTATTTATTCGTACCAGTTGTCGACAATGCTTATGGAAAATACAATAAAGACACAAAACAGTGGAACGGCATCATTGGTGAACTTATCAATAATGTAAGTAAACAAGGGTAAGTTTTAAAGTTAACGATAGTTACTACGTACATTTCTGCATACTGTCTACCAGGACGCACACATGGGAATATGTGACCTGACAGTAACACAAGCGCGTAAGACTGTTGTAGACTTTACAGTGCCCTTCATGCAATTGGGCATCAGCATTCTGGCTTATAATATTCCACAAGAACAGAAGCACGTCTTAGCATTCTTGGATCCATTCGCTGTAGAAGTTTGGTTGTACGTTATGACTGCGATATTAATTATTTCCTTTATGTTCGTGTTTGTAGCAAGGTGAGTTAAACTCTGGAGTTTAAGGTCCGATTTCAAAGTTGCAACTGAAGTCTTAGTATTGATTAAATTTTGTTGACTTGATTCATTCATAACTCAATTTTAAGGCTAAAGTAACGACTGTAGGACTAAAAATAAAATGTTTTAAAATTGATTCAAAACTGTTTTTAGAGTGGCTAAAGCTGAATGGGAGAATCCACATCCATGTGATAGAGAACCCGATGCTTTGGAAAATCAATGGCACATAGCTAATACATTTTGGCTAACTATGGCATCTGTGATGTGCGCTGGTAGTGATATTTTACCAAAGTAAGTTTAATTTTATTGCAAGATCCAATACGTTTTCAAACTGCTTTTGCAGGAGCCCTTCAATGAGGACTTTAACGGGATTTTGGTGGGTTTTTGCGATTATAGTCTCAAACTCCTATACAGCAAATTTAGCTGCGTTTCTTACAAACTCTCAAATGCAAGGCACTATTTCCGACATAAAAAGTTTAGCATCGCAGACAAGTACAAAGTTTGGAACAATGGAGGGGGGCAGCACTTACACATTCTTTTCAGAGTCAAATGAAACTACATATCGTTTGGCTTTCAATATCATGAATGGTGATGATCCATCAGCCTATACCAAAAGCAATGAAGAGGGAGTAGAAAGAGTGAAGAAAATGGAGGGTAAATATATGTTTCTAATGGAGACAACAAGTTTAGAGTATAACATAGCGCAGAATAGTAGTCTACGAATGGTAGGTGAAAAGTTTGGAGAAAAACACTACGCGATAGCTGTGCCCTATGGTGAGTTAGGTGATGTGAGTGACAGCAAATAGTATTTTCAAAATTTTATAGGGGCTGAGTATCGCTCAATGTTGAGTGTAGGTATTTTGAGGCTGAGCGAACGTGGAGAATTATTTAAGATAAAAAATAACTGGTGGAAACCAAACGAAAATCAGACTACTGATTCGAAAGAAAGTACTGGAGAAACTCCTGACATGAATTTTGAAGAGGTCAGGGGTATTTTTTATACACTCGGAATTGGACTTTTTATTGCCTATTTAGTTGGCGTTATTGAATTTTTAATACATACACAAAAAGTTGCAGCGGACGAAAAGGTAGGAGAAATAACTGCTTTTTTGAGATAATAAGATTTAGATGCGATTCATTTTTCTTTTCTTTGTCGGCAGCTGTCGTTTAAAAAGGCTTTTATAAAAGAAGTGAAGTTTGTTCTTTGCATCTGGAATAATAAAAAACCGATAAGTTGTACACCGACTGCAAGTCTTGGGTCAATGGTTTCAGTAAAGACACCAAAATTGACACCGAAGAACACGCCAGAGGAATCAATGGAAGAGTTACAGGATTTACAGAATATGACCGGAGCCAATACAAGCAGCCGTAAGAAAGAAAATTCCGCTTATAGCCATGGTGGGAATAATATTGCTTCCAGTAATGTGACAGAAAATGTGTCAAATGTTTAAAGATGAAGTATTTCGAAAAAATGGAAAACTGAATTAAATGATCTATTATTCGAGAATTGCTTCAAGAAATGCAATAAAATATTTTGTAAAAATATCAACTCTTTCTTCTTAAGTAAGGGTACTAAGATTTACATACCCAAAAGTGATTAATGGCTTTAAATACTTAATTAATATCTTAATTTGAAGTAGATTATAGCGGAAAACCAGGGGGTCTTATAAGCGTATGGGTCAATTCTTTTGCTTTAAAAAGTCTAACGAATTGAGACCGTTTCGAAACTTTGATGAACGATCAACATCAAATAAATCAATTACAACTGAGTTTAAGCTTAACTCGCAGTCTCTTTGAAGTTTGTTATCTGGAGTACTAACATTTTGGTAAAAGTTTCATAGTTCTACATGTTCCAAATATTGGATAAGTTTTTCTCATTTTTGTCATATTTTGGAATGCAGTAAACAGTTGACAAGTACAGTAATTAGTCCATGAAACTGCTCTGAAGTCCATTAAATGGAAAAATCTTATCGCGTAACTACTTTAGCTTACCTGATGCATGATCTGCATTAAGCCAGACCGACTCAGTGCACTATGAGCTTTTAGAAACTCATTGAAATTTTTCACAACAATAGGATTGTTCCTCTCATTTTTTGCTCCTACCCGTAGCGGCAGAACTGTGCCAATTTTTCTTGGCCACAGAATGTGAAAAATTTGAATGAAAATTTACGATTTCACATGGTAATGTTTATTTGTTTTTATTGCGTCTCAAATTACTTTCAATTTGATTTCTCAATTGGAACAGATACGCCGAGTACTTTACATATTTCAATTGGATAAGAAAAGATGTCGAAGTGTCCTGATTATTCCCTTGCCAAATCCCTTGCTAGCATTAAAAAGAAATGTCAAAAATAAATATATATTTTTGATATAAATTACATAAATGAAGCCAAAATTTAAATTAATATTTTTCGATTTATTACTGATATACTCTCCCTATTTGTCTGTAAAATGAATTCAATGGAGTTGTAGAGAGAGAAAATGAATTTGGTTCGAATGAAGTAATATAAAGAAAATATCTGTGGATTAAATAGTATACATATATAAGCAAATACAATTTTCTGTGCTTGTAATGGTACAAAAATTCCAAGTCGTTATACCTGCATTTCAATCCATCGAGCTGAATCTCAGGTGTGAAAATGATTTCAAAATGATTTTATGATTTTGTTTTTGCAAAAGCCCTAATTAAATTTATACTCTCATATCCAAATCTTTTAAGTCAAGTAAATAATGTACCATGAAAAATCCCAAACCACTGTTACCTTAAATGTGATAACCTAATCGGTCGATCATCAAATAAATAAGAATTGTCATATGAAGGCTATTGAGGTTTTAAATCAATCGAATTTAAAAACATTAAATACATTTTTCCATTCAATAACAACAACGAATGATATATTATAATATATACCATAATATATATTATCTTCATTGAGATTCTTGTCTCTATATCTACATCAAAAGCTGTTCAATTATATATGAATTGCTAAAAATCAAGTGAATAATTCATCTTAGCAGATTAGCTGACTTTAACATTGTGGACAGATAGGATTCCGGACAGTGGTTTCAGTAAGAGCTTATTTGCAAAACCAACAAAATGATGGACAAGTAATATGCCTAACAAACGAAATAAATCTTCTTTTTCAAAGACATTTCACTCTAAGTAAGAACAAAACGTTTATTACGTATTCAATTTATTTTTTCCAATATTGTGTGTATTCTTCTAGTTTTCTTTTGAGATGCTAATAATTTTAAATCTCTAAATTTATATATAAGAGACATTGTTCTTCAACTTTTTGTTTTACTTCTTTCTCTTCTTACAAATCTCACATATTCCCTTCTTTTCCTTCTCATTCATATTCTTCATCATTCCCTTTTCCTGCTTCTTATTCTTCTCCTTCTTTTCCTTCTTCTCTTTTTTTTCCTTCTTCTCATTTTCTTCCTTTTCGTTGTATTTCTTTTTTACATGGCTGAAGCCTTCCTGCCCTTGATGGCAAATAGCAATATCTATCTTTCGAGGATGTGCGGCTTCTTTACCTACACATGCCGTCTTATTGGTTTTACGACGGTTTAGAGTTCTTGCACCCTTACGGCCTAGTGCTGCATAACAACCAGGGTATTTAATTATTTTTCTGTACGGGCGACTTGCCCGCTTATACTGCACTCGACCGGCCACCTTTCGTCTACGAGGTTTCGCCTGAGTAAGTGTTATAGTTAGAGGCTTCTTGTTTCGACCTAAAGGAAAAAGCGCATCACATTTTTTAATATGTTTTAAAAAGCAATAAACTCACTACGGCTCATTATATCTGCTGAATTCAAGGATACAATACTATACTTCAAGTTTGTGATTTTTACGTTTATGAATCACATTCGGAATAAAAATTTTTATAATGAATATCAACAGAAATCATTTCATTTTCGATTTGTATACAGAAAATTCTGTTTATTGAAACATGTGGCAATGGTAATGTGACAATGAAATGTTTCATAAGAGAATGGAACATCTTCATTCCGCTTTCCTTCTGTGTTATGTTATTCTCATCGTTCGTATGTTGTCTTGCAACCACCTTCGTCGTTGTCGTCCTCATTTTCTACTCCCCTCTGGTTTTGTATCAAAAATTTTCTTACTCAGTTCTAATTACTGATTCGTAGGACGTGAGCATACCAGCGCAATCTTTAAGCTTTTATTTGTCGATCGTATAGTACGTCCTTCGTCCAAGACATTCATTCCGTCATTATATCGTATACGTATAAGACGGATCTCAGCAGCAGATTGTTGTCGCTGGATTTCGGGATCTATACTTCCTAGTCGTCTGTAAGAACCAGTCTAATGACAGTTTTTATATGTGCAACTTTTTTAGCACCATTGATTTCATAACATTGATATGGGTAAAATATGCTGAGTTAGCAGTTTGAATACGATCTCGTATTGCAAGATTCGGATTTTTACTTACGTTGAGTACTCCGCCCAGATATTTAAACTTATTTATGGACTCGAACTTGTAATTACCTATTCTGATGTGGCTACCTTGGAGCTAAATAAGCAGATTGGAAGTGATAGGTGAGAGGCGTCATTTCCATAGATCATCCTTTAAATTACACATCGCCTCCCTTTATGTTGCCATTATAGTTATACAATTACGTTTTAATTGAATAGCTTCTGTAAATAAGAAGAATACTGGGAAAAGTTCTTCCGTTTTTATTATAGTCAGTTTCATTCTAATTTCCTTGTAATTTCCTTTGGTTGTTATAGATAAGTAAGTAAGGAACATGGGTTCCGCTATTTACGAAAACCAAGTTAAAATTATGCCTTTAGCTAGTGTCTTCTATGCGTTAGGCGTTAATGGAAGTCATTGTCGTTAGATCGAAATGTATTAAGGACAATCCTAGTGTTCTCATGTTACTTCAAAAATTTAAAAATTAGTCAAAGAAAAAGAAATAAAAATGTAAATGAAAATAGTTGCATTAAAGCGACACGGAGAGTTCTTGAGATTATGTATCATATCCAGTTAATGAGCCATCATGAATTATTTGAAAGTACTTAAGGTAAAGATGTAGAATTTGTTTTTGTCTTCAGACTTTAATCTGTTTCGAAGTCAAAAGCCGCCCTTTTTCATACTATTCTCACAACTGTTTCTCAGTTATTGGGAAGAACTTCTGTGAATGTTTTGTCTAGTAGTTACCAATCAATAATAGGAGCTGTAGGAAATATGAACGATTGCAACATAATCAGCACGCGTATTAGTATATCGAGGTGACTGGAGAACATATGCAAAAGTAAGAGAAGTGACCAAATACCAGTGTAAGTTTTTGGGTTTCATTAGGCTCTAATCTAGCTTGAAAAAGTCTAAATTCAAACAAACAGTAAAAAATAGTTTACCAAATCATTAAAAAAGTAATAGTCAAAATGCCGAAATAACTCAGTGTCTTCCATGGTTTAAAACTATCGGATTGAAGAGAACAATTCAGGGATAAACCTATTTATTTTAATAACATCAGGAAATCGTAAACTACAGACATGTATTGTATTAGTAAGGTGGAGTGATTTTGTTTGATCGGAACAGAAAAGTAGAGTCAGTCACAGTAGTTTACTTCAAACAGAAGCCCTGGTCTCTGTATATCCCTACTTATATATCTTTTGCCTTCATTCATAAAGTGTTGTTACTTTTCATTGCATTTTAGGAAGTATGCTTTGCTGTTGCGGGAATTCTCTTACTTTATTTTTTTAAGGGCATCTTCTTATATAGATAAATGACTAAAACAGTATCTTGCAAAACCAAGCTTAAGCAAATAATCAAAAAAAGTGCGCTCACTCTCCGTAAATTTAGTGTACTGAAAACAGATATTTAGCTGTGCAGATTCATATTAATTGTCCCAGAATTTCCTGTTTTGGCCATTAAAAATTAATTGATTTTTTCCCCAAAACCATATTACGTTACACATTTTCGAGCTTAAATCTCTCTCTACGTATTGGTTGGGTGTCATATTTTAAATCGTTTCATGTGGTAGCAATTCCGTTGTCGTTGTCGTTGTCGTTCGTCGTTGTCGTTCAGTGCATTGTGTCTGGTAATTGTTGCATAAAGCAAACGCATTCATGCTTTATTTTGATTGAATTCATAGGTTCACAGTCCGTACATATTCGTCGAAGCTCCTGGAATAGCAGCAACTAGAAGCCCAGTTGATTGCAGGTGAAGTCTACGCCAGGTTGACTTATAAAACACATAAAAGATTGCAACCGAAAAACAAGGAGAATTGGCATAGAGAGTAAAATACAAAAACAAAACGTAGAAGCGAAATTATTTATTGAAAAAAAGAAGCTAAATTAAGCCAATTAGTGCCAATGTAGATGGCATAGAGCTCAACTGAACTGTGGAGAGGAGTGACGATATGCATGATATGAACGATATGAACGAAGCAATATGCACCAAACAAAGTGAACCAAGTGAACAAAACTTAACGGCATAAAAGAGAAATTGGCTAGGGAGCTGTGACGAATCTGCTATACCAGTAGCAGAGCTCTCGGTATTTTATCGTAGCAATTAATGCGCCTCGCTGCACTAACAACCTCAACCTCAACGTCAAAGGTAAATACACAAATGTACCTACAAGACTAATAAATGCTGCGGTAACAGCATTCAGCAACATCAACTTTAAGGACAACAACGTTAACAACGACAATGACGACAACTTTAACGACAAGGATGTCGACAGCAATAGCACCAGCAACAACAACAACAACAACAACAACAACAACAACAACAGCAACAAAAACATAAGAAATGTAATGAGCATTCAAAATTAATTGGCGTATATTTCTTCAAAGCTATTATCAAATCGAAAAGAGGGGCTCAGTATCAGGCTCAACTATAGTACAATGCTCCAATTACTCGCAAAATAAAAGGAATAATTTAAAATTTTTCATTTTTTGTTACATCCTGGTCCTTGCATCCTTCAAAGTTGATTGACAAGTGCGGTGATTTTTTTCCTTTCCATATTTTGTGTAAACGCAAGTCCATGAACTCATTAAAGTGAGTTTCATTGAGATTTCTTTTGATGAAGTCAGTCATTTTCTTGTCTGAAAAATTAATGCCTTGCAATTGGGACGACATGGGTTGGCCTTAGTTTCTCTAAGAAGGATAGCTAATTATTTTCTATTTAAAATATTATAATTTAAATAGTGGGATTTTCAAGCGCTACCATATACGAAATTTGTCAGTGTACTACGTTAATGAGCATCGGACCAAGAATGATAATGGGATGGGATATTTTGGTAGTAATACAGAGCTCTAGAGCATGGAGGTCTCTTGCTTCACTAGAAGAGAAGGACAGCAGTAAGTAAGTAAGTAAGCAGAGCTCTCATTTCATTAAATGTGGACATATTAAAAAACGACGATGTTAAAGTTATATTGTTTGCATTAAAATTGATTCATTTTGTGATATGGTAGCTGGTACTGATACCTAGTGATATAGTGTTAAACGTTCCCTAGCATGCATTACCAAAGTAGTACTTTTATTCGCCAGCATGCAAATCGATTCGTGAGAAAGAAAAGTTAACGCTAGAGTTGTTTTAAGATCTCGCGCGCATATTAAAGAGATTAAAAAGTCTCTAATCTGTCTATTGAACAGAAGTTCTGATTCATATTGTATGTGTTGTTATAAAATGATTACAGGCGACATCGGGTGTAAGTATCGAATTTCCAATTTATTTTATTACATTTTAGTCGATTAACATTTGTTTGAATCTTTTCCATGTTTTGTGAGAAAACCGGGGTTAAGATTTAAAGTTTTTTTTTATTAATGTCATCTGCAGGTATTAGTGTTATGTGGTCAAGTTATTAATATATATAATATATGCCTAGTACTGCACTGTAACTTGGTGTTTGTTATTGTGCTTAGCCAGGGTAAGCATAAGATAACCCGAAGACTACAGTTTATTAAGCCTTACAAACGTTAGACCCTACTAATGGTACCAATGGTATCCTAAATCTGACTACAATATAAGAGATAAACTCAATTTGACAAGGATTCTAAATCTTAGTTACCTTATAAGTTGGTTTTGCATGTCCCATTGCTTAAGGTCATGATTTGAATTCCTAAAATAAAATTCATTCTCAACAGTAATAGCTACGAAATTCGACACTTGATGAATATGTGCCATTTAGTCGTTATTTTGGCGGCGTTAGTTGTCAATCCGCCTATCTTAAATTTTTATTATCGATTTCTGATTTCGATTTTCTATAAAGTTCCCTGCAGTGATGTGAAGGAATTGAGGGTACTCAAAATCTTAACGAATGATTAAATTTTCATTTAGTCTAAAAAAATAATAGTGTATTGAGGTCTTAGTTAAGTCAACGTATGTCATTTTAGTGACTAAGAATTTCATCCCTCACATCCTTCTTTTTTTGTATTTCACTCTTAAAGTGGCACAAATTCTTATTGAATTAACATAAAAACATAAAAGTTGCACTTCATTCATCGCAATCGAAGAACAAAAGTGAAAATAATCAATTTTATAGCCCAACAGTTTTATTTTTGTATTCCATTTAACCGTTTTTATATATTCCAAATTGCAGCCAGCTGGGGTGCGGGTGCGGAATGGAGAAACACTTACGTGAAGTTCTGATTGATTTGAGCTGATGGGAATCAGGCACGCGATGAAATCGGCACTAATTTTTTTATTATTTTGCATTGAAGTTGGAAACTCAATCCGATGGGAAGTGACTTCTGCTAGTGAAGGCATAAAATTAGTTGGTGTTACCGGAAATGAAATCAATTTAAGGTATATCGATTGCAGAGGGATAGAGGTATTGAACAAGCTTTATTTCCATATATTGCTATGCAGAATACCTTTTAACAGGTGACGTGATTATTTAGGACTTTTAA